TAGGATCCTCTCTAGTTGATATTTTTTGTTAACATGACTATCATTGTGATACTTATGGGTAATTCACTTTATTGGTAGAACCTTATTGACTATGTCTACTAGTTTATAGAGGATCAGGTTCATCATCGATTTTATACTTTTATTAGAAAATATTTCTTTTTATAGACCTTGAAGGCCTAACATAAAAGTATAAAATAAATATCATGGTAGACACCATAATCATATAGTTGTTTGATAGTTCGAGCTGTATTGACTCCTATTTATTCATATAAAAGTATTAGGCTCAAACATAGATTCATTTCTTGACCCGCACAATATCCTCAGAAGTCACATATGTATATAAATCACACTCGTCGGGGCCCATGTGGGTAATCATATTTTAATGCATGAAGGGGGAGCTTTTAAATATTTAAATATAATTATTTGTGCTAAGTGATTATTGCAAAAGTCTATGCAAAATTTCTTTTAAGCATGAGAAATGCCTTCTATTGGCCGCTTGTATAAGTGTTGTGGATTCGATGGTATTATTCAACCATGTATTGAATTTTATCTTTCATGCACTCATGATGTAGTTCATCTATTTTCATCTATCGGATGTTGTCATGTTCCTATACATTTATCTCATATGAATGTGCTTCTTTAAGCAAATATGATGTGTGAGTTATTAGAAGCTTCCTACATGTTGCTTGCAAGTGGGTTGATTTATTTGAAGTGATAGCCTGACATCACAACTTTATTGCCTCATCTTATCAGGGGCCCTCAGTTTTTTCAACGAATTCCTTATTTTTGTCTGCAGGAGGATCGTAGCATTGTGCTACATGTCATTTGATGATTTATGTAGGTAAATTGTCTTGCATTGACAAATATGCTATAATTGCTTGTATATAGCATGTAGTGTGTTTAGTGAGTCTTCTATAGTAGCTTGTAGGAGCTCGTATTCATTAGTTGTTTCTTGTGCTTACTCGTAAATAATATGTTGTGTATGTATCTATGCTCATAGAAGATCTACCATCACATCTATCACTGTTGCTTGTAAACGGACTGTGTCAACTATCATTGTTCATATAGGGTTAATATGTTTATTTTCTTATAGAAGCATATTACTTAATGGAAGGCTGCTATATTAGTTGTAGTTCCCTTATTTTCATTTGTAGGGCATTCTTCACATTCACCATATATTATTTGTCATCACTTGCAGATGTTTAATGCATTTACTTGCAGGTTTATGTTTACTATAGGGGAATAATCTTATATGTTGCATGAATCTCATGCTTTGCTCACAAACAATCTTTTATATTCGTCACAGTCTTCTTGAGTGTGTTTGTTGGGTAGTAGTCATTGCTATTGCGAGCAGATGTGTTTATTCATTTGTAAGTTAATATCGATTGTTGGGTGAGCTGCATTCACCACTAGTTTCTTCATGTATGTTGACTGATAAGTTGATACATTCACTAAAAACTAGGTTAATGTTTGTGGGAGGCAGTCGTATGCATCAGCAAGAAAACCAACATTGATTGAAAGGATGTCATAACATTATTGCATGTTAATGTGAGATGGCTGGTTGGATACATTCATTCCTGATATCCCCATATTTGTTGGTTGGCAAGTTATTATATTCACTTTCACATCTTGCGTTGTCTCTTATAAACCCTTACAAACTCTTTGCAATATCTTATAAATGAAATGTTGTGTGTTATAAGCTCAAAATCATGCTTGTAAGAAAATTATCTTGTACACTTCATGTGTCATGCATACACACACTCTGAGGGTATGTGTTTGCTGCAAGCTCTTGGTCCTTGCTTATAGATAGTGTGTGCACTTGTGTCCACAAGGGATATGTTGTATTTGTGGCATATCCACTATTGTTATCCGCAAATATATCCATCTGTTGTTATCACACACAGGGAAATATAGTATTATTATACAAGTGAACTTACATTTATTTTGGGGATATCGTAACATTCATTGCATGCTACTTGTTATCATTCATACACAGACTACTAAGAGTTAATCTGTATGTAGATTGATGTTTATGGAAAAGAGACCATCCCCTTTACAACCTTTTCATTTTGCTTGTATTTATGCTACATCCCTCACATGCCATTTGACATTTCTTGCAGGATTTAATATTCTTCTTCATATGTTTATATGGATTGAAGGGTGTTGTTACATTCATTATAGGTTACCAGTACTTGCATCATTCATTATGGTTATATCTATTTATTTATAAGCATGATTTGAGATGAACATTGCAAATCAACTATCATTATTCAAGAGTTTCATGTTATCACTTGTAATCAGGTCACTTCTTCTACAATTTTATCATCACTTGTAAGCAAGTTCTTTGCCTATCATAAGTTCCCTGGTCATTCATTTGCATTTAATTATTCGTCATTTTGTGAATTATAGATTCAATTTATGCATTTATTCAAGTATAGTTACATGTTATGCAAGTTTGGTTCCCCGGCGCATCATGGGTGACAAAAATTGGATTTGGAGTTTTCTTTAGTTTGAGGAGTCATTATATTTGCACGAAATTGTGATGGTGATAATGTTAAGGCTAAGGTAGTAGTTAAAGTTAGAAGAAAAAACTTATTTCCCCCTTTTTTATTTTCTTTTTCTTTTTTGATTTTTCTCTATCTTTTTTTTTTCCTTATTGAACTCTTTTTCTATCTCCTTACTTCTTCTTTCATATCCTAATGAAATTGTGTCACATCTCCCCTTATTTGGTACCGTAGCTTGGTATTGCTCGATACTGCTTGGTACTAGATGATGTGATTGCACCTGATTCGCCTATGGAATGTAAGCTGTGTTTGATGTCGCAAAAAATAATCTCTCCTGGTTGTGAGGGAGATGAAGTGTATGAATTGATGAGGGAGATGAAGTGTATGAATTGATCGTATATGAAATGAGAAGAGGTATTGAGGGGCTCGACATAGTAAAGGGGTTTAATTGGGCTTTGATGTACAGGTGGTGTGCAAATGGCAGAGGAGGGAGGTCTGCCTCACTAGAGGATTAGATGGAGTATTGAGGTAGGAGATCAGGAAATGCATGTCGGCGGCTGATTAGGTCTGGCTATGAAAAAAAGGGGTGCTTGGAGAAGATTGATGAGTGCAGGCAGCCTAGTCGGGATGGAAGTCAGAGTGGCTAGGTTGGGTTTGGGGCGTTTGGCCAAAGTAAAGGAGACAGATGCAGGAGATCCATGCATCGAATAAGGAGGCACGTTCGGAGAAGGTTTTATCGTATAGGGAGAATTATAGGTCAGTGAGGTAGAGTAGAGATCATAAGATTCGGCTAAATCTTATCTGTGTTGTATATACCAGGTATGAGGTATTGGTCAAAGTGGGCTATTGGTTATGAGGCTGCAACAGGTTGGAGGAACAGAAGAGTTTGGGTCACAGGTTCAAGTTGTGGAAGTTGCATGAAGAAGATAAGAGGTCAACGAACACATGCGGGGTCTTTAAATAGGGTGACAGATTGAAGGTATGCGGGTTGTAGCTACTCAGTTGTGGGATGGTTAAAGAATGTGAGGAAGTAGATAGGGGGATATTATGTGTCAAAAAAGAGAGATTATTTGGTGCGGAATCAGGACATTGGTTTGCATTTGGACTCCTATAAAATCGTGACCCGTGGATAACCTATGTGGTAATTATCGATGTGGATTGTTTAGTGAAATTCTGGTGTGGCTTCAACACGTAAATACCGATAAAGATTAAAAGTGAAAATGGCAGTTGAATTCTATATTTTGAGCGGCTCCTTTTTTATTTTCAACATCCGACATTCCATCTTTAAAGCTAAACTCCTTTATGCATTCTCTCTTCTTGAAATCTGGCAATCAGGTCCGAAGTTCCTGCATTCTCTCTGATGGCGTCACTTTCTCAACCTGTAAAAAGAAAGTTAAGTTACTTGTGTAATTTATGCTCATGCTCTATATATTTTATGCTCATGTGTTGACCTAGTTTTTGCTCAGACTCCTGGTCAAAGGAGTTGACTTGGTCAAACTGACCAAGCTAGGCCCCAAGACAACCTACCTTGGGTTTCATGTGTTAGACCAAGTTCATTGAGCTCAAACCCATGTCTTGGGTCAATTTAGTTGACCAAGTCAACTCAAGTTGACCCATTGAGCCTTAATGGGTCTAATTCAATTTCAAACCCATTCTCTAGGACTCAATAGACTAGGTTGACCAAGTCAACTTTTGACTTGGTCAACACAAGTCTTATTGGGTCAATTTGACCCATTTAGACACATTTGAACCTAGATCCAAATCATACTCAATCCCATGGCTTCTTGGTTGGGTTTATTTGACTTGGTTGACCAAGTCAACCCTTGACTTGGTCAACCCAAATCTTCCTTGGGTTAGGTCAATTTAAGACCCATTAATGCATTAATCACATCCAAAACTCTCCCTAATTAAAAAACACGGCTATATTATCTTAATTCCCTCCTAATTTACTGGAGATTAGATTTTGGCCGTCCATGACAAGCTTAGATGTATAAATAGAGGTGTTAGGGTTTGTATTAGGGATCTTTTTTCTCACTTGATCTTGCCCTAAGCTCTCTCAGCTTAAGATACTTTGTGGAAGAGCTCTTCTGATCCCCTCCCACCTTTCCCGACCAAGATCGACCGCTAAGACCCCGCTGGCGACGATCATCCGGTGAACCCGAGCCTTGAAACCTTCCAGGTTTTATTCTGATAGATCTAATGCAAATCAAGAATCGAGTTCAATTAAGAAAAGATCCGTGGACAATCTACAAGCTCAGAATATCCAAGATCTACTGAATCCAACGATTGGATTGAGGTAAAATGCTAACCCTAGTTACGAACACAGCTAGTTAAATAACTTTTCTTGCATAACGCTTTAGAATGCATTTTATATTTCCCATTGATGCTCTTCACTAGTATAGTGCATGTTTAAAATTTTGTTCAATTTGGTTGAGTATCGAGGGAGAACGGGATGAAAAATACTTTGGAGCCTCAGTTTTGCCCTAATCCCGACAGTACAAGATCTCTACCGTTGATCGCTCAATCAACGATGGAGATCCCGTCGTTCTGCGGTTCCATCCGAATCGTGGAATCGAGCCCGGGGTCATCATCTCATCTGGTGCAATCAGAGCTATGGATCTAAACCGTGTGAGACCGGACTGCTTTGAATCCTCGCTTATGTGGATAAGTAGGACTGCGCTCTGCGGTCTTGATTGCAGCATGATTGTGGCAATCATTGCTCGGTGGCGCAATCATTGCGCCACCAGGAAATGATTACCTGTAGACCTCGCATCCAACCAGAAGTCGTTACGTGTCCACTCAGCCGCCGCCGCCATTTTTTTTTAAATTGATTTTAAATTAATTTTAAATCCTTTTAAAAATAAAAAAAATGCAAGAAATTATTTATAAATCCAAAATATGCATTTAATGTATCTTTTTTCCTAGAAAGTTATTATCTTTGATTTAAAAATATTTGTGATTAAAAAAATTAGATATTTTTATCATTATATTAACTTAAATCAAATGTTTTAGTATAATACCTCTTATTTTTCAGAAAAATATGTATTTTATTTTCAAAATATTTATAGATATCAAAATGTATTTTTCTATCATATTTTTTGTATTATTTAATGTATTGATTATTTAAATATTAATTAAATAATTAATATATTTAATTACTTTGAAATTACAAAATTATTTTCAAACTCTTTTCGGATTCTCTTTGGGTGGCCAGTGGATCTCCCAAACATTTATAAATGAAACTAATTTTAATTACATTATTTTCTTAAACTTATATTTATATATTCCAAATTTAGGTATTTTAAAATGCTTTAAAATTACATATATGATTAAATCCCAAATTTTGGGAGATCCGCTCTTGAAATTTTAAACATTGATTGAACTTATGAAAAGCATTCATGGGGGAGGTTGATTAGTGGGTGATTGAGTCTCAATCATTCACTAATCTCATTGATAAGCGTGCTTAATTTTCTTTTACTCTCTTTTGCATGTGTATGATGCACGAGCACTTAGTTTAGGCCCTCCTAGATCTTAGGGTTGATGTGTTTACTATTTTTATACATCCCCTTGCATGTTTCCCTAAGGGTTAGTCCAAAACTTACTTTTAAACCTACTAACATAGCGACACCCTAAGAACAATAAATAAGAATCCGTTTAGCAAAATTAGAAAAATTATAGGAGCTAAGATAGATCCCTGATTGAAATTAAAATTCAAACATTTAAACCTAGTGACATTTTAAACCTCCCAGAATTTTCTATGAATTTTTAGAAGCTTTTAGACCCTCTAATTAACAAACTCTAATTCAACCCGTAATTAGGCCCCGATAACTTCTAAAATTTTTAATAAATCTATTTTAACTCATAAAATTTCCCATAATAGCTTGAATTGTTTAGAGTTTCATCTCTAACCTTAGATAATTAGGGACCCTTAGGTTGATGTTAATTTAAGCCTTAATATAACTCTAACTAAAAATTACCGTTTTGCCTTTATTATATAATTAAAAATTCTAAATTTTCCCCAAATACTTGAGAACATCTTCTTAGGTCATTTCGGATATTTGGGGGTGATTCCAATTAGTTTGGAGCTAATTTGAATCAAAACCATAAAATCACCCCTAATTAAGAAATTTTAATAATTCCTTTAATTGCCTAAAACTTCTAAAATTCATTACTTGGCCTAGAAAACTTCAAATCCAGCAAACTCAAAACTTAACTACTCCCCTTAAGGCTAAATATTTAATTAAAATGCTAGAACTCCCAGACCTAACCTTTTTTTTATAGTGACCTTTTGGACCCCCTCAACCTAACACATAGGAGGACCCGAGACTTTCCAAAATTGGCTAATGCAACTTAAACTTCAAAGATCATTAACCTATGCATTAAAATGGATCCACAAACTAAATTAACTAAAAATTATTCTCAATTCATTAATATTTAAACTTCGATTAAAGTTTTCCTTTTTGGCCTTCAACAAACTTGAACTTTAGGCAATTTGAATTAATTATCTTATATAGGACATATCCAAAGTCACACAAGCCTATTACACACATATAGATGTGCTAGGTCACCACTTGTAGTTCTTGGATTAGGGCCGGTGTTTACTTTTTTGCTTTCTTTTCTACTTTCTGTGATGATCTTGCTTGTTGTACGAATGTTGATTTGTTTGATTGCTTTAACTTATGGTGATGATTGTTTATTTCTTTATTATGCTTTTTATTCTTTGCTTATATGATTTTTGTGTTAGAATGCCCTTGGGCTAGGGCTGCTTTTATACTAACTGAATGTTATGCAGGTGGCCACGCTCATGCAGCGTGAAAATAAAGGGGCAGTAATGATTTAAAGCTTTTAATACTAATGTTGTTTTCTGCAGATGCTCTAGAGATTGCTTAGCCCCCTTTAAAATTAAAAGAGCATGGTCAAGCTTGTTTACTTTTCTGAACCTATTAACTGCTGGATGTGATATATGATTTACTTGGGATGTTTTTATTACGATAACCCTGCAGAAGTCCGGGTCTAGATTTTTTATTTTCAAATATAATGTAATTTATAATAATCATTGAGTTGTGAAAGTTTTCAAAAGTCTGGCATGTTAAAAATAAGGTACCCAAAGAGAATAAGAAATGCCCCTTCTCAAGAAATTTATTAGTTATTTGGGTACTCTTCTGGAGGATGAAACATACGGTGCCCAAAGGAGACGGTCCAAAAGGAGATGTTCCGGGGAAGGATAATCCACCTAAAGATGGACACTTGAAGACAAAATGCCCAACTTTTAAGACTTGTGTCATTTAGTAGGATTAGAATCTAGGATGTTGTTGGTGGAGCCTAGCCACCATTACTTTTCTGCAGACCCTGGGTTGTATTTATGTGGCACTTTTCATGGACTTTGGACTTTACTTTTTTTGTGGATTATTTCTATTGATGTGTTTATTATGTTTGAGCATTAGAACCTGCCTATTTTTTTTAGGTTTCTTACTTGTATGTGTGTGGTCTAATTTGCGCTAGGCTCTTTAGGGTAAAAATTATTTTTTCCATTAGCAATTAAACTCTTAAATTTTAAGATTTAAATAATTTTGGAACCTAATGACCATGGGAACTGCTCGAACCACCCAGGGTCACATGCATTATCACGAACCAACCCGATCGAAATGGATCCCATCGCGTTGATTCACGATGGATAACCCCAGGATCTAGTTTTCGAATTTGTTTTCAGACGTTTCTTCCAATACACAGACATACAAAAAAATAGAGCTACAACAAACATCCAAATGTACAGAATTCACAAAAATTAGAATATCAGACAAAGTTCAGAGATTCATACAGAATGGAAATCAAATAGAATGTAGATATTCATACATAACAGATAAGATAATAGATACAGATTTCAATTCATGTCACAGAATTATTCAAATCAGAATTCAAATTAGAGTTCAGAACAAATTTCAGAAAACATTTAAATCACATTTCAATTCATAATTCAAAATAGATTTCCCTGACCTAGACATAATCTTAAAGGATTCTTGCCCCTTATACCTCTCTTCCCTGTCACAGACAGAATTTCAAAGGATTCTGGCCTCTTATACCTCCCTTTGTGCTTACAGCACCATAACATATCATATAAATAGAATTATCATATCAGAATTCATTTTTATATTCCCATAACATATCATATAAATAGAATTATCATATCAGAATTCATTTTTATATTCCCAGATCGAGACAGAATCTCAAAAGAATATGGCCCCTTATAAGTCTCTTCTGATATCATTCAAATCACATAAAACATCAAATCATATCATATTCATCAGATTTAGAGAAATTAAATTTGTATCAGAATATCGTCAGATTGTATAACGGCAGACAACAGAAATTCAACGAATAAAAAATTTACAGTTTTAGAAAATTACCAAATTATCATAAAAACATAAAACATCATTTCAAGACTTTCATTGTACTGAAGCAATATTTTTCATCTTCTAGATAATTTTCTATTTGATAAAAACTTCGCATAATTCAAAATACCCGGTGAAAATTTTTCAAAAAATACTTAAAACGTTTAAAATCATTATCTCAAAAATATACCAAAAGTTATGCGGTAAAGTTTTACTGGTACAAAGATATACCCATTTTTTGCTAACAAAAACAATATTTTAATCAAAAAATTCGTCAAAACTCACATTTCTGAATATTGAAAAAGATATAATGTGCCTTACCTGGAGTAGATCAACATTCAAAACATAGCTTTTCTTCCTTTTCCTTTCTTTTTCTCTCTCCCCAGCTGTTTCTCTCTCTCTCTCTCTCTCTCTCTCTCTCTCTCTCTCTCTCTCTCTCTCTCTCTCTCTTTCTCTCTCTTCAAAATAAGAAAGATCTATTTAATGGGTTGAGATTTTTCCCTTATCGTCCGAATGTTATTCATGGATCGTCCCGAGATGATTTGCTCTATTTGTTCACAAACAAAGTGCGTAAGGATGAAAACTACTCTTCGTACAGGGACGATCTCCTCAGGTTGGCATCGTATGAACGAAGATCACACTTCATCCCTGGATGATCTGCTCGAGTTTCCATCACACGAACAATGATCACTCTTAACCCCTGGATGATGCTCTTTGTCCAAAAATTTTTAACTGTTCTTCCCGGACGAACTCAACTTCGTACGGACGAACCTGGAAGGAAAATCCAAAACAAAGTAAAACATGGAAGAAAAGGGTTTTCATAATCTATCCACCTTAAGAAAAATGTCTTCATCGATATTGCCAAAACAGGCTAAGTTAGAACAAACTTGGGTAAAATTATCTCATGTTAGATTCTTTCTCCCAAGTAGCCTCTCTAGCTATTTTGAACTTCCATTGAACCTTAACCATAGGGATCTGTTTACTCCTCAACATTTTTAAATTAAATGCCAAAATCTTTTCAGATTCTTCTTCGTACTACAAATTTGCCTGAACATCAACATCATTAGTAGAAAGTTTCTTTCCAAAATCAGATATCCATTTTTTCAAAGATGATACATGAAATATGTTGTGTATATTTGACATCTGATCAGGCAATAACAACATGTAAGAAGAATTTCCAATCATTTAAATGATCTCAAAAGGTCTGACGTACCATAGGCTAAGCTTGCTTACTCTTCCAAATCTGCTAACACCTTTCATCGAACTGACTTTGACATAAACATAGTCACCAATCTGAAATTCAACCAATATGTTCTTCTGATTATAATACTTCTACTTTCTATCCTATACAGACTTGAATTTTCT